TACCCTTTCCTCAGAATAGATGACACCCTGAACATCTTGGCTGAATACAGATAGTTCTCAACATTGGATTCAAAGAGCTGGTATTGGCAGGTGGCCGTTTACCCTGAGGATGAAGATTCCAGAAGAAAGTGAACTTCTTGGGAAACATTGTGTCATCAAGAGAAGTTGAAAGATATCCAATGCCGAAGAGAAGCCACGACGTGAGAAGTTTCCTTGGATGCTGTAGCTATTACCGGCGTTTCGTGAAGGGCTTTGGAAAAATTACCAGACTGCTGCATAGCTTGACTGATAGGAAAACCCACTTATTTGGTCCCCAGACTACCAGAAATCATTTACTGCCTGAAAAGGCATCTAACCAATGCACCAATCTTGGCATAACCAATGGGAAAGGGCTTATTTATACCAAATAAAGATGCATCCCAACATGGAATGGGAACAGTACTTTCTCAGGTACCAGAAAAAGTAGTCGTCAGAAAGAGTAGTCGACATTAGCTATTTCAGTAAGTTCCTGAGAACATCGTAAAGAAATTTCTATGTCACGAAGAAAGAGCCCCTCGCAGTGGTCAGAACGGTGGGTCACTCCCACACCTTTTCATATGTCTATAAGTTTTTGATCAGATCACTCAGCACTTCGGTGGCTCCCCTACCTCAAAACCTCAGAATGACACATATCCAGGTGGCTTGAATAGTTACAAAGTCACCATTTTGAAATTCGACATCGGAAATGAAAGAGTCACAGAACCGCCTACCAAGAAAACCAGGCCGAACATCCGAATGCGAATTTTGTCAACGTCAGGAGGACAAGAAAACCCAATTACCAGGAGAATAACTATCCACCAGACTTGACAATGTAGCGGGCAGGGACTCCTTTATGGACAGCTCTGATAGGGAGTTGAGCTCCCCTACCTTTCGCTGCTCAAGGTTTCCTTTGATCCGGAGGGTAGCGAAATGAGAGGTTTCCTTATTCAGGTATACGGAACTGAGATTTTGGGACCACTTCCTATGACTACATCCGATGACAAGTATCCTATGGAAATGATGGATTATTTCTCCAAAAAATGGCCTGAAGTAGTAGCCTTACTCAATCAGGATACTGAAACGTTGAAAGAAACTTTGTTGAAGAACGTAATTACCAGACACAGAGTATCTCAGGAGTTACATAAGAACCAGGGCTGCAACTTTGAATTGGATTTATGGAAGGAAACAATGACTTCGTTGGTAATAAACAAGGCAAGAACAACCGCTCTTCACTCATAACCATAATCCATCCATACACCATAGGAATAATCGCACCATAAATAACTACCTCTTGATGTTTGTCACTGAGAACCAAAGAGACTGAAATAACTTGAGTCCTGCTTTTGTTAACATATATGAGCTCTCAACCCCAACTCTTCCAACCCCAACGTCGAAAAAGGTTTTGATCCAAATTGCAGAGACTTTACTTGGTAACCAAAAAAATAAAGAATCTGGTCCACATAATCCAATTGTCACCTAGAAGCAAGCACATAGAGGGACTGAGTCCTTACATGGGTCGGGATGTTTCTTCTTGGAATGTCGTTCGAAGCGAACAACCTCAAGGAAGAAGGTAGTGTTGTTAATCATTACCTGAAAAAAATAACGCCAGCCGACGCTGATCATCATCATCATCAGGGAAAACATAACATCCTCAATTTTTCGTGAAAGAAATTCAAGATACAATACATTATTCAATTCGCCACTATTTTTTCAAATTTTTTGGGATTAGAGCAAAGCGCCTTTCTGGTGTACGTTTCTGGTGAACTGAAATCACGACTGCCTTTATTCTCTTATGGAAATAATCACCTAATTAAAAATCGATAGGATATGATGGAATCGAAAACAATACAATACGTGCAAATGTATTCCCTAAAACTCAATGACATAGCATAATGATCACTTGAGTCAATTTCTACACGTTTCTCATTAAATAGTGATTCATCAATATTTGTGGCAAAATGATCGATTTGTGAAATAGAGGTATCGCTGTTTTTTTTTTTTGGTAAATACTCTAGTTAATTCGTCATTTTTGAATGTAGTCGATAGCTACTAACCAAATCGATGAAAAGATTTTTGTCTTTTTCTGTTTTCGAACACTCATGCAAGTTTATGTTATCTATGTTAATATCACTGCAAATTATCATTTGCAGTGATATGAGTGAGATAATTCAAAATTTGAGACAACCTATAAATGAAAATGTGATCTGTTCCTCGTGAAAGAACTGAGGAAGCGTTAAGAACTTTTAACAGTTTCAACGAACATTTACAATTCACAGCTGAGGAAGAAAGTAACAACAGTTTACCATTCCTAGATATGCGTGTATGCAGAGATCCAGATAATGTCCTACGTACAAAATGGTATAGAAAACCATGTGCCAGTAACAGGTTACTGAACTACCATTCTTACCATCTAACGAAGATAAAAATAAACTTAGTCCTAACCATAAAGAACAGGGTGATCAATCTAACACATCAACTTTTTAAAGACGAATGTATTGAAGAATTAAAAGGTATTCTTCTTGAAAATTCATATCCTTGCAAACTTTTGAATGAATTACTTTTTAGCTCCCACTCCATAGTCTCGAATACTCTTCCAAACAATTTAAATAATTTCATGAATAATAACAATCAAAATAATAATTTAAATATTTCAAATAGTGGAGAGATACCTCCGAATACATTATTTTTCAACACACTACCATATTTTCGGTCTTTAACACCCATACTCCTGAACGTTTTCAAGAGTGAACATATTAAATTTGCCCAATGTATCGTTACCACTACTAATAGTCTTTTTTCCAAAATTAAAACTCCGTTGAAAACTTTAGAAAAGTCAAATGTAGTATATGAAATTGCTTGTCATACATGTGATAAGACATATATTGGCCAAACATCTAGAATTTTATCTGGACGCGTAACGTCCCATAAAATTGATTGTAACATAAACAAAACCACTTGTGCACTTGCAGAGCATGGCATCAGCACTAAACATACAATGAACTACACCGAAGTTTAAGTTTTGTGTACTGAAAGCAACTCACAAAAACAGTTGTTTAAAGAAATGTTCTTTATCAAAAGAAATACCAATAACTTGAACAAAAAGACTGAGCTCAACAATCTCAGCAATATTCACAATTACATCTTAAAATTGGAACTAATTCCTCCAGGTTCCCCAAGCAAAAGATAGTGTTTGATTTGGGCGCAGTGCTGACTCTGTCGAAAAACCATTTTCTTCAGTTGTGAGTGTTTGGCAGCACTGTACCCAGAGTCAGATACTTTTTATTTTGGTTTGTGTCAGCCATGGAGTTGGTGTGTCTTTTGGTAATCCTGTTGTTGTTCTTTCTGTCAAATCATCAAACTTCAAATGTCTTTTCAGAATGTCAATTATCTAAATTCAAATATTTCCTCTTTCCTCTTTTTTTTGTTGGTTGCTACCACGCCACTGAGTAAGTGCCAAGCATGGTCCGTAAAATAATTTAAAATGTTTGAATAAAATAAGTTTTTTGTACTTTTTCTCTGAAACTTTAAATTGAATGTGTGACACTTTTCTACATCTAACTGCGTCTGACTTTTTACTTTAACCTCAGGTTAGTACCTATTTGTTTTACAATTTTGTTGCAGTAAGTCATTATCGAAGGTGAAACTTCATGCTCTTTATGCATTTCATCTTCTTTATTTCTAGGAGACTTCAAATCTTTGACACATAAAGTGTCAATTTCTTCCATATCTGCAATTACCTCCAGTTCAGCAAGTTTATTGCCTAATGACCTAATAGTAATATGTAATAGATTCACATAATTTGATTTGTTTATGTTTGAAAACTATAGTTCATAGTTATCTTACTGTTTTGTTTGCTTTTGATATAAATTTCGAAACTTAAAACGTTTTACCAGTACCTTTTCAGGCCAGTAGAAGGAATTATGAAGTATATATCCATCAGTTCTATATTAGCACCCACTTGAAACGCCGAATAAAGTCCAATAGTATTCAGTTTCGTAACAACAAAATTATTTCCTGGATATTTTTTCAAGGTGAGACTTGACATTTTCGATCGTTGTTTGCCTTTTGCAGTGTCCAACATACAACCATACCATAGGGTCTTCTCCAGCAGAATTTTCGCCCATAGTATTGGAAATCGATCCAACAATTGATGTATGGAATCAATGTGTTTTATCAGTTCTCGGTGGACGGCTAGATACTCCTCGGTTTATCTGGCTATTTGTAGGACTTCTCGTACCTTCTTTCAATGGTTTACTTTAGTTCAGCATACCTCAGTTTCGTTTTTTTTTTTAAGTGTTCACTTTTTTCGACGACGAATCTGAATTGAATGAATTATTTTCGGTATCATTGCAATCTAGAAAATTTTCATTTGATGTTGGTGTCTAGATTATTAGTCAGCAATTCAATAAGACTAATGTTGCTGCTTTTCAATACCTGTACCTCATTTCTAAGAGAATCAATATCTTGTTTGAGTGTTTTGGTATGTTTTTGCAACTCATCAGCTGTTATTTGCTTCATATTGTCGATAGTCAAAAAGAGGTTACCTTGATCGGCATGATTTCCAGCTTTTGTTGTACGTGTATTAACCATTTCCATTTTGATATGATAACAATTTGAGGAGCACCACTATACACGTCCGACACGTTTCGATCAAACCAAAACCAAAACAAAAATAATAAAAACACTATCTCTCAATGCGTGTTTTACTTAACAAGTTAGCATCATTAGGATGACTCCAGTTGTAGTTATCTCTTGATGTCAACTCAGCGACACGTGCGACGAGAGACAGTATTTTCAATTAATTTGTAGACATTCCGAAAATTCAAAGACTGTCGTGAACATGGATAAAGCACCGCCGCCATGATAAAACATACTAAAAATTGTTAGTAAGTGAATATGCTTTTGTTGTCCTCATTTTGATATAATATTATGTATTTTCCACCTGAAATATTCACCCTATGATTATTCTCTGGTGGCCGACCTAAGAGTATAACGTCTTGTTTAGTTTGTTGGAAAAAATTTGGCATGATGAATCAGATTTATGTGTTGGCTATTCTTACTTTTACTGGTACCTACGCCCAAACTTTACTGGACGGAAAGTGTCCAAGTGTTAATGTGGTTCAAAACTTTGACGTGGAAAAGGTAAGTGGTAATTAGTCGCCCAAGTTAATATTTGGGATTCCACCCCATTCAGACCATGGATTATACATAAAATCAATATTGGAAATGATTGAATAGAATTCAATCATTTCATATATCAGAAATTCACTTACTATTCATGAGTTTTCATGATTTAGTAAGTTGTTTTTTCATTATTCATCAGTTAAGTTTATATATAAAAATTCCATTTCAATACTCTATGAATTACAATGATGGAATCAGCACGTTAAGTTATTTCGAAACGGAATATATAATTATTTATTTTTACTGGAATTATTACGCCTTGGTCAAAGACGAAACGGACTGATTTAAGTTTGACGATAGTCGTGTCACGAAGTGTTCTGGCGATGTATTGAATCTATTGGAGCCTCTGGAGATATGAGAGAGATGGAGTTTTATGAGAGAGAGGACATTNATAATTTCACGAATAAAAATTGAAATACCTATATAAAAAATATGACTGGAAAATATAAGTCTGTCAATCCCAATGAAGAATATAATAATACCTTCTATTTCTTCTAGGTATCACATGAAAATAAATAAATTTAGATGATCATATCTGATTCTTTCTGTGATTACCAGTTTTGAGTTTCATCAACTGAATAAAAATTCAATAATCAATGTTTTTTAGTACATGGGAAAATGGTTTGAACAAGAGAAATATCCCTTTTTTCACGAAACTGGAGGAAAATGCATCTCCGCAGAATATTCCTTGAATCCCAATGGTACAGTCAAAGTTCTAAACAGTAAGATTGATATCTCGTAAGTATATATTAATATTTTTCATTTTTCGGTATTTCGTTATAATATATCTTCTGAACTATTTCTTCAAATTTGATATTGTCGAAAAATCGCTGGTAACAAAACATATAAATTTACATGAACAGCTTGATAAATTTTGGTACCAAAACACTTCTCATCATCATAGTATTGACGAGTCTTGGAGCCATTTATATTTTTTGCATTGTTTCGAAACTGTTGATCACCTCTCGAAAGATCTTGAACAAGATAAGCAAACATGCCTTTCAATGAATACCCGAGCCGCACCTACCCTCTTATCATATTGGGAGTGGTTGATCGTACCGTATCAGGTTGTGAGTTATGAAATATAGGAACACTTTTTTCAGGAGCGGTAACTCAAGTTCCGCCGAAGGAAACGCTCGTTTGGCGTCTGATACGGGAGAGGCAAAACTATTAGTACAATTCCCCTCCAACCCAGGTTAGTACTGCGTTTTTTTATAACTGAGAGTGTTTTCAAGAATCATGCAAATACTTCGTATATTTTGATAGAATCTATTCATTCTTGGTTGTAATACATCGATGACATATTTACGAACTAATTCCATTGACCCACATAGCAATAGATATTCCAGGTATATTTCATGAATATACATTTGAGGATATTGTATTATGCTATGAATATGCCATGAATATATATGTCTTCTGGAGAATATTCCCTGGAAGTGCTCCTGGCGAACCTTTGATATATTTTAAGAATATTCCTTGGGAATATTCTTGGAATATCTTATAATATTCTTAGAATATCTAAGGTATATTCTATTAAGAATATTTCAGGAATAGAACCCGAGGAATATTCANGTAATACATCGATGACATATTTACGAACTAATTCCATTGAAATAGACGGAAGTAGGTTATTTGTTAACAGTCCAACTAGCAAAGCAGTACAAAAAACTCCATAGCTCTCACTTATTATTATAGTAATCAAATCAACTGAACCCATAGGATAAGTTGGACTGTTAACCACCCAAAACTTCGATCAGACCCAACGACTTTAGTTCACATAGGAAGTTTGGCACCAAAAAGACATTTTTTGTTTCGGAGTATATCTGAACATTTTTGTTTTTTTGTTATTAATTTTCGTACCCTTCGATTTTTTTCAAATGATCGCCTTATGCATGCAATGCAAACGATGCCTATGCATTCACGCCATTAAAAATTGTGGAAATCAATATTTTCTGACGTTTCTGAATATGATATCTGAAAAATTATGAACTTTTGTTTTCATCACTCGAAAAAAAACATAAATTCTGATATTTTTTTTCAGAAAAAAATGTTTTTCTCCTATTGTTACATAACAAATGTTTGATTTTGGAAAAAAGTATCAATAAAATCACAATCGACGAAAGAATAAGTCGTTCATAATTTAACTACTACAGAGGGTGTTTTTTGACTACGGTACAAAATTTCATATGTCCGAAGTTGTTCGTTTTTGGAGATAAAAGGCGATGAAGTGTGAAAAAACAGTATTTACAAAATATGATAAATATCCGTACACCAAGTTGGTTGAAATTTGCTACAGATATTTCAAGTGATAAGGAGCTCATGTACCTCTTACTAGATTGAAATTATTAAGTTTAGTGAAGTCTCAGTGGGGAAAAAAGTACGCCACTGACTTGTTGTAGTTTTCAATTTTTTTAGAATCTGAGAAGGCAACCTTTTCGTCGCCAGTGTATTCGTCACATCTAACGTAGTATTCGAGAATAAAAATTGAAGCCACTTTGCATATCATGAACACCAGCTGACAGTGTTGAATATCATCTACATCATCACATTATATAAAATGATTTGCAATCCCTAAAAAAAACCAGTACAAACACTGTCAATCACCTTCAAATATAAGTGATAGTGTTGTCATATTAGTGAAAGTCGTAGTTGTCAATTAGCAGTGATTCAATCGTGAATAATTTTACCAACACAGTAATGGCTAATATGCATTCTATTCGTGAATTAGCAAATGGAGATGCGAAATAAGCACGGATGATTCACCAGGACAGATATCTGACACAATAAGTCCATGTGCTACGTGCCAGATTATATGCTACTGGAAGTTTTAATAAATGCAGGTGTTGGAAGAACAGACTTTTTTAAAAACACCTGAACTAGAAGAAGCTATACTTGATGAGATAGAAAAAGATCCTTCAAACAGTACCAGGAATATTGCACTGCAGCTGGAAGTCAGAACAAAAACCGTATGTACAGTTTTAAAAAGAAACCTCTCATATCCATATCATATACAGCGGGTCCAAGCTCTACTGCGTCGAGATTTCCACTCAAGAATAATGTTATAATGTTTCACTGGTGGTTGATTCATAAGATGGAATGCAATAATAATTTTTAACCTGTTATTTTATTTATAGTGGAGCAAATTTTTCACGAGATCTTTCACAGTGACCAATTTTAAGCCGACGAAAATCCCCACGTTATTGTAGAAAGTAATGATTGGTGACTATCTAATTGGTCCATTTTTTTGTACCAGCAAAATCAACAGGTGAATCCTACAAGGACTTTTTGCGAGATCATTCACCTATTTTGGTAGAAGAAGTAACAGTAGGTACTTGTGAGTGGCAATATGTGATTTATGAGATCGGGGCTCCAGCTTATTTGAGTATTCTTGCTCGTCAGCATCTCGACATCACTTACCCTAATCGCTGGATTGGACGTGCAGGACCTTAAAATTGGCCAGCTCGTTGCCCTGATATGAATCCTCTAGAGTTCTATACATGGCGTCATCTGAGGGCTTTCGTTTATGAAACTCCTGTACAAGATGTGAATGACTTGAGGAATCGAATAATTGACAATTGCAATATCATAAGAAATACTTCAGGTATTTTTCAACGTGTCAGATAATCAATTGTAGTTTTGCACTTTATCAGAAGGTGGAATCAACTGAATCTAAAGAAACGTTTTCGAAAAATAATATTCAGCGAGTTACGGAATTTTTTCTGCATGAGACAAATATACCACTTCCACAAATATTTTCCTGCTTATTTTACGTAAACACCAAAACTTTACTTTACGGAATATTGCATTTTTTCAAACAGAATAGGAGGTCTAGCGAAGGCTGAAATAATTTTTGAACGTATCTTCATACTTGCTTTATTTTGATAAAAATTTTCCTTCAATTCACATTAAGTAGTCTCGGGAGAAATCGTCAAATTTTTTCTATTTTAAACACCTTCCAAAATTTTCTTTGCGTTGGAACATACACTTTTTCAACCCGAAATTCCATGACAAAGCAGATTGTATGATATCGAGAAACAGGAAAAACAGGACATTTTAGGATTAAAAGTTTCTACAAATTTCCGAAGGTGTGGTTTTTTAGAAAAAAAAAACGTTCATTTCGCCTTGTTAAATCAAAAAATTTTGAACTTTTCTCACCCCTCCGGTTTTTTTTTGTTTCCTGAATATTAGGCCACACAATTGTTTTCAATTCAACTACCGAGATGATAATCATATTGACAACTACAACCCTTCTGTCGTTCACTGAACAGATAAACATAGATAAACGGATAAACATGACAGACTGATTGAAAATTCATTAACAATTTTTGTTTTTCCAGTGAAAAGAGAGGCTCCTTATTGGGTTTTGAGTACAGATTACAATACATATTCGATCGTATGGTCTTGTGGTGAAATGAAGTCATCATCCATTCGTGAGTATATGACAAATTGTTATAAATAAGTTATGTAGAAGGTAATACGTATTGGTTGAATATATCATTCTATCGAAGAGTTTCCGTCTACTGATTTTTTATTCAATATTTTTTATAGGAACAGGGAACCGTTATTTGAGGAAAATCAATAATATACAGATTTTATACTATACATTTCATTTAAGACACGGACACGCGTCTTGAATATAATTTATGGTGTGAAAATTGTATAATCATAATTATGCACAGCTATAGTTTTTTCAATATTCAGTTCCACCTCAATAAATACTGAAATTCTAAACTTACAGTCTGAAGCATTTGGCAAAGTGAAGGTTTTATATGGAAGTTTCATAAAATTCGTCAGTTCATCAGTTCAATTGGTGAATGTATAAGCAGTGCCAAAAATTCACATAATAATAAAAATTGCAAATTCAAAGAGTGAACTGAATTTTTTTTCGACAAAAATTTTGATAGTTTTATCCACTTACCACTTTCACTTTTTATTTCTGTTGTTTTCTTCAGATCTTCTCGACAAATTTATGATGAAAAATATGACGGTTACACATCAACATATCAACCCAAAAAAACTTTCCAATAAAAATAATCCAGAAAATACTTATTCCTGGAGGAATATAACAAAATAATTCTCCGAACTGTTGCTTTACCATTCCTTCAATTTTTCAGTTCCAATGAAAAATAAACTCAGAAGTGACAGTCTAAACAAAAAATGAAATTTTCGTATTTCTGACTTTTTTTTGTCTTTTATTACTCGTAGACAAATTTCCATTTCATTGAGAGAGGCAACACATAAAAATTCACTATTTTACCATCATCACCTATTTTGAATAACTCATCGAGAATTTCTACATATTTTTTGTCAATTTCATGATCTATGATTATGATTATATTCATATATGAAATTGAAAAACTGATTTTGAATGAAATGTGAGTAGCAGTAAAACTTATTCAACTCCAACTATACAGTGCATTTCTTTAATGTCCCCCCCCCCTTTTATTTTTTGAACGGGTCAACTCAAAAAATTGAAATTTGGGATAATG